GGCCACGGGGATGATGATGATATGATGGAGGAAGAATAGTAGTGGCCTGGGCTGCATTCGTAGGAGGGAGGGATGCTGTCTTAGTGACGGAGGGACGAAGCAGACGGACGGACGGATGGATGGATGTGTGCAGGTGTGACTGACTGACCGGCTGTGTGGTGTGTGTGAGTGAATGTCTTGTGTATCATGTGATGACATAATTAATGGCTCTCTCTAAGCTCCAGCCGTGTCATTTCTCAATCTAGCTCTGTGCCACGGCACGGCATCTGCCGCACTTGCACACCAAGCCACACTCTTGTCTAGCTTTTTCACCTGTGCATTTCACTCATCGCCACAACGCAAAGACGTCTAGCTGGCAAACTAACTCAACGCCATATGTCCACCCACTACCCGCCCGGCCCTGAGCTCTGAGTGCTGCCTGTCACGACCCACAACCGCCCCCCTCCCATGCCCCTTTTTAACCACCCCACCACCAGCAGCCCATTTCCTGGCCTTCTCCCGCTTCTTCTCCCCGGACCTGGCCTCATGGATCTCGCCCCTCCTTTTGCGCAGCAGCGCCAAAGCGCTCTGAATGACGCTCCTGTCCCTCTCCCCTGCTGGCCCCCCTGGCGCAGCGACCACCTCGAAGTCATCACTGGCTGCATTATGGTCAGCTGCATCGGCCGCCTCGGTGCGTCGCTCCCTCTTGCTGGGCTTGTGGGACGATGCTGATGCTGACGTGTCGCGCTTGCGTTTCCCCCACTGTGTTGTGCCTGGGACAGGCCGGCTGGTGCTGGCGTCTGGACCACCGTGCTGTGTGTGTGGGTGGGCTCCGTGGAGTGCCTTGCCAGGTGCCTCGGAGAGGCCGAATGAGGACGCATAGTGGCCGAGGTGGATCGCTCGGGGGTTGAAGAAGGCCTTCAGCTCCTTCTTGTACGTGTGATACGCCCTGCAGAAGGCAGACACACATGCAGCACACAGGAATGAGCTGTCTTGAGTGTTGTGTGTCGTGTTGTGTTGTGTGTCGTGTTGTCATTCCCACGCTCACCTGTGTGCCGATACGAATGCTCTGCGGGCTTTGGCGAGGAGGTCGGGGTCGCGGGCCACAGACTTGCACACAAACGAGCCGAGAAAAGAGGCCAATCCCTAAACGATACACCACACCAACACACACACACACACACGTGTGTCCGTTGTGTGCTGGTCTGCCGCCCTGTCGTGTCGGCTGCTGACTTTGAGTTTGAGTGTCTTGAGGTGTTGCGCCACTTGTGTCTCCTGGAAGAGGTGCAGGATGGTGAACTCCGAGAGGAGCTTGACGTCCACACGGTGCTGCTTCAGACACTCCACATACCCCACCTCAGATGGCAACAAAAACACCACCGCATTGCCCTGACAGACAGAAAGATGGACACAGAATGCCCTCCCTGCTGTGCTGCATCTTGCTGACCTCTTTGCCGAGACGGGCCGTGCGCCCCACACGGTGGATGTACTCCTCGACCTCCTGCGGCGGGTCATACTGCACAATCCAGTCCACATGGGGCAGATCCAGCCCACGGGCGGCCACATCAGTCGCCAGCAGAATCGCCCGCCTCTGACGCGTGAAATCAGCCAAGTAACCCTCCCTGCACACACAGCGACATGACAGGTGACCATGCAGTGGTGTGGTGGATGTGGTGTGGAGAACGTCGCCTCTTTCACCTGTCATGGCGTTCCAGGTTGCCGTGGAGCTTGAACAGCTTCACGTCAGCAAAGACGGGCAGACCCACCATCTCACCCCACTCGGCCTCATCGGTCGCAGCGGCAGCCTGGTCGCCATCAAGATCCTCGTCGCTCAACTCTTCGGCATCGTCCGTGTCGTCCATGTCGTCCATGTCATCTGCCGCCTTGGCCTTTCCCCTTCGGCCCATCTTGGCGAAGAACTTGCGGGCGATGGCCTGCTGCCGCGCATCGCTGACCGGCCGCCTGTCGGGGCGGGTCGCTGCCGATCTGCCCTGGAGAGCCTTGAGTGACGGCCATCGGATGGTGGGCCCAGCATAGCAAGGATAGCCGGCAGAGAGGCGGACATCCTTCCCCTTCCAGCTGTCTGTGTACGCTCACCGCCCTGAGTTTGTCTACCGCCTCCAGCAACGCGGTCGAACTGTGCTGGCCACCCGCGCCTGCATCATCAGACAAGCAAAGCGAATCCCAGAAGACTGCAATGACATGGCCGGCACTTCGTATCTGCCCTCACTGTGTTACGTACCTGTGCTATCGGCATGCATTTCGGCGGAGATTTCCATCACAGAGGGGGATGGAGGTGGAGTGAGGGCTCAGGAGAGGGGAGCGGCGGAGGCAGCGTGGATGCCGCGCTTCCGCGCCTAAAGGGTTCAGGGTTCGGGTTTCAGGGTTCAGTATGCGGACTCGCAGTGCGGCGAGAAGCTGAGCCCGTTGGTGCCTCAGCCTGACTGACGTCATCATCTTCGCCATAGAATCATACCGACGGACGGCAGAGCGGCAGAGCTGGTTGAACTGGAGGTGAATGGAGAGTCTGATGTCGGTGTAGCAGCATCGCATTGATATCAGCGGCACGCAGTAAGCGCACCACGCCAGACATACCGACGCAGAGAGCTCAGCACCATCAGTCCAGCCAGAAAGCGAAACCACCCACACATGTTGCCCAAGAGGCTCTCTTCCCTTTGTTCTCTTGTTCTCAGGTGCACGCACTGCCGTGATAGATCCATCCATCCATCCGATTGACTGAGTGAGTGGTCGATTTCCTTGCCGGTTCCCACACACCACACCGGATCCACCATGATGGACGGCAGCGATGCGATGAAGCGCAAATGCGACCGCTCCCGGCTGCCGTTTCAAAGCATCGCTGCGGATGAAACTGCCGGGTGCACCAACGGCTACCCCGCGCCCACAGACGCACACCCACCGCCACACGGCGGGCCGACGCCACTGACGGACGACGGCACCATGGCTCAGAAGCGGCAGGGTGCGGGTCCCAGCGCGCAGCCGGGTCGTGTGCTGCTGATCCGCGATTTGCCGCGGGACGTCAACGAGTTGGAGATCAAGGAGGCCTTCTCGCGATTCACCGTGGGGCAGGCACTCAGCGTGTTCCACGTCCCGAGTGCTGGACAGACGCTCGTACAGTTTCCGGTATGTGGGAGGAGGGGGAGGGAGGAGAGAGAAGGGAGGAGGGAGGAGGGTGGAAGGAACATTCTTCATGAACCCTCCCACCATAGATATATCGGTATGTGTCATGTGATCAGGACGGGCCGGCTGCGTCGGCTGCGCTGGCTCAGGTGCGTCAGGGTGGTGTGGTGATCGGCGGCTGCACCATCCAGGGCGACTACAGCAACGCCGATTGCCGCATCCTGCTCGTCAACGTCACCAATTTGGGCTACCCAGTCGAGATCGACGCACTGCACCGCATCTTCTCCGCACACGGACCCGTCAAAAAGGTCAGCGACGGACACACACACCACAACAAAGCAGCTTGCCTTCATCTGTGTGTGTGGTTTCTTATGTGTTGCAGATAGATCTGTTGTCTGGGACGGTGCGCGGGGTGGCGCAGGCGCTGATTCAGTTCGAGAACTTGACTGACGCCGCGCAGGCCGTCACACACGTCAACGGACACAACATGTACGACGGATGCAACACCCTGCAGGTATGTACACACGGCATGGCACCACTGACCACCACACAAGATCCACTGGATGGGTGCAACCAATGTTGGTGCCTTTTCTGCTCTCTCTTCTGCTAGCTGCAGGTTCAGCTCTCTGGCGTGACGATGACGGAGTTATCGGTGGGGGACGGCCCCAACAAGGGCCGCGACTTCACTATACAACCACCCACCGCACACCCCGCTGGTCAGCCGTTACGCGCACACACCCGATGCTGATGTCGACGTCACTTGTCGTCTGGTGTGGTGTGGTGTGGTGTGGTGTGGTGTGTCCCTTACGTATGGGTGGCTCTCTGACAGCTCGTGGCGGTGTTAACTCGATGCCCCTGGGCTACTCCAACTATGCGCCACCATCACCAATGGTACGTAACAGCACAACAAAGACGCGAGACGGAGAGGCCATGTGAGCTCATCTCTCTGTCCTTTTTGTTGGGTCACCAGGGCATGCCCCCGCAGGACATGAGTGCGATCGGCGGTCTCACCCCACCTCCCCTGCCGCCCACTACACACCCGCCTCACACAAGGGCCCGCAACAGCAACAAAGGTATACATGGACACGTCAGTCACCAGAACAGCCACACATGACCACATCCATCAAGTCTTAAGAGCGGCGGATGATGTGATGTCCATTTGCTGTTTGTCGTGCAGCAGTGGCCGCAGTGTGGTTATGTCTGGTTCATCGGCTGGCAGACCTCTGCCCCTCCGCTGGGTCAGACACAGCAGGCTCAACGTTGCCGCCAACCTTCCAAGCCTGCCACTGGCTGCGGACATTCTCTCGCGCACTTTCACTCGAACCCAGCAGGTGACGGACCTCATTCAGCAGCAGGGAGCCGATCCCAATGAGCATCCCCAGCTGCGGGTGAAGGGCAGCACCACGCCCCGCTTCGCACCCTATCCGCTCTTGGCGCTGTGCATTGACAACCTCACCGACAACCGCATCCCGTCCATCTGGGCAGCAGACGGCGATGGGAGGGACTCTCCCGTCGCTTTGCCGCAGTGGTCGTCACCCGACCTGCAGGAGGGCGTCATGAAGGCACTCATCGCCGGAGGCGTTGACATCAACGCCATCCCGACCGACGATGCGGGGAGGAGGTGCCTGACCGCCACGCCCGTCCGCGTGGCCATCAGAGCGTGCAACGAGACGGCCTTCGGTCTGCTCATGGCAGAGGCTGGGCTGCAGCTGGGGGGCCGTCAGGTGATGCGGCTGCCATCGACACTGGACACGGACCGGGCCACCGAGGACCACGAGGCCACCCTGCTGTCCTTCTACCGGCAGCTCATTGATCGCGACCCCACCCTCGCAACCGAGACTGATGCAGACAGTGGCGGCAATCCGCTGCATTGGGTGATCTTCACCCCTCCCGTCTGGTCCCAGGCTTTCATCGACAGCTACATCGACCTGTTGGTGGCCAATGGGGCGGACATGACGGCAGTGGACATCATTGGCGCGACGCCATTGCAGTGTGCGGCAATGTGGGGGTTCCATCGCCTGGCTGCCTCCCTGTGCCGCCGCCTCCCGTCTGCCGACATCAACCGAGGGCCCCCCAACCGCCCCAACCGCACGCCCCTCTGGTGTGCTGCCCAATCATTATGGCTCGACATTCAGCTGGAGCATAACGACACTGCGGAGGCGGCATCCAAGGACAACGCCAGAGCCCGGATTCCCCATCTCAAGAGCACCATCCGTGTGCTGCTGGAAGCGGGGGCGGACATCGCCCGGCTGCCCAATGCCACTGAGGGGGACCGCCGTGCTCGGCATCTGGTGCTGGCCGAGCACACGACGGTGCTCAACGAGGTGCCCCGTGTGGTCATGGCGGCCATCAACGCCGCCCTCGCCCCTCAGCGCGACCACTCGATGCTGCTCGCCCGTCTGCTGCCCCTGGCGCCCCACCACGACGGCCACCCCACGCACCCATCCCCCTCCAAGCTCTCATTCGGCCCCCAGGAGGCAGAGGCCATCACCTGGAAGATCGGCTCCTTCCTGCACGAGCCACACACCGCCATGGCGACCGTCGATGAGTACCTGATGGGCGAGTCGCTGCTGAAGCGCCGTGTGCGTGCGGCCGTGGCGCATTTCGTGACGCAGGCGGCCACACGGACGACCGGCAACCGGGAGGTTGTCGGGGGGACGAGGCACGTGCAGCAGGAGGAAGGGACGAAGCGCACCAGAGTGACGATTCCGCCCCTGCAGTGCTTTGCTGTCAATGGGGGGCAGGAGGGGGGCGGGCAGCATCGGCGGCTGGGTGTGCGTGAGGTGGTCCACAGGGCTCGGCTGGACGAGGCGGCGCAGCACGGTGTGGAGGGGGTGGTCAAGGGCTTCAACACCCACCTCGACGATAGCGACTGCCAGTTCCAATGGCAGCAGCTGGGGTATATCAACAGGGGGGGGCAGTTCGAGGCACTGCAGATCAGCAGGTGGTGGGCAGCATGGGTATGTTTGTGGGGCTGAGCATCGCCTGACGGCCGTGGTACCGATAGATAGACAGCAGCGAGCGGCGGATAGATTGCACATGCATAGAGGCAGACGGAGGGATGGATGGATGGAGGGAGGGAGGGAGGGAGAGAGAGGGCGCAAATTGCTGTCGTAGAAGGCGGGCGTGTTGAGGCGAGTGTGTGGACACCTTCCTCCATCCCCTGCTTCACTCTCTTCTCGCCTCGTGCGACCAACTGCTTGCTTCCTAGTCGCATGTGTGTGTGCACAGCTTGGTGAATTGTGTGCTGTTTTTCAACCACCGATTCTGCCTTATATCCGTTGCTTGACAGACACAGCCAGACAGGCAGACAGGCAAGGAGGGAGGGAGGGTGGATGTCTAGTTGGCGCATGGACGGACTGATGGAGGGTCCTTGATTGATTCATGTGTGTCGGCGTAGCTGCGGACGACTGACTGGGGGGACTGCGTGAGGTGTGGTGTGTACAGGTCGGTCTGTCTGTCTGTCTGTCTGTGTGTATACGGGGTGGCCGACCAGGTAGCTGGCTGGCTGGGTGCTTTGTTTGGCCAGCCGCCGCGGCTCATGTCGGTCGGCAACCTTATTCGTGTCATCCATCGCTGCGTGCAGCTGTGTATGTATGGGTGGTGCTCTGACTGAGGCGGGTGGGTGGAAGACCCCTCCTTGATGTAGCTAGCTAACGCGCCACTTGTACCATGTGGCTGCTTCAGATGGCATCTTTGTTTGCACCCATTGATCGACCAAAACAGAGAGGGTCTCACTCTACTCACGACATGAAGCTTGTTTCATCCATCCATCCGTCCGTCCACGCCACAAGCGCATGAAGGAAGCGTCAGGCACATCACGCCACACCGGCGTCATGTCATTGAAGACAACACCACCTTGGCTAAGCCCCTCCTCACATCCGCAGAATGTACAGACGGCCGTCCTCCCTACACACACACGACACGCCACGACACGACACCAAGAGAACGAACATGATTGACGACACACATGCATCCCCCCTGATTGCTTGTCCGTCCCACCCACTCACCTGACGAGTCGCAGCTCGTTGCGTGCCGTCCATGAGAGCGATATCGTCTGCAGCTGCTGCAACACACAGCACGCGACACACACACAGCATACAGACATCATAAATGTGCTGTCCCGTGACCCATCATCTCATCTGAGTGGCGTACGTGGACGGGGGAGTTGAAGACGCCGGCCACTTTGGTTGCCGGGAGTGAGTGTGCCTTGAGGCACTTGCCAGACATGCCCAGCAGACCTCCAAAGAACCCTGTCGACCCACACTGATGGGTGATAATGCAACCCAACACACACACACACACACGCACAGGCACACACAACACACGTGCACGCTTCATGACGGTCGGCAGCGTGTCTTTGGTGTCTGGTGTTGCTCATCATCTATATGGTCTGTAGATACCTGCCACGTGCGTATGGATCGGTCGCCGGCCGAGTAGGAGGCCAGGTGATTGCCGTCCTCAGAGAAGGCCAAACAGCTCACACGACCTGATGAATGAACCAACCAATGAATGAATCGGTGACAACACACAGCAAAGCGTGCCAGCCAGGTCGAGTCCATCGTCTTCTCTGCCCTCTGACCCACCTACCCACCGGTGTGCCCCTCGAGTATTCGCCACTTGGTCGCCGTCCGCAGGTCGTATATCACTATCAGACCCGTCGTCGTGCCCTGCAGCAAGGAAGGAAACACATACACACACATACGCACACACAGGGGTCTCCCTCCCTCCCTCCCTCCCTCGACTGACTGACTGACCACGGCGAATCTCTGAGTGATCTGGTGGAAGGTGACCATGGGGAAGGTCTTGACCAACTCGAACAAGGCTGACGTCGCCGCACTCAGAGAACTACGCCTGCACACACACCAAAGACACACACACAGCCACAAAAGGGAGGGCAACATCGTCAGCCAGCCTGGTGACCAGATCAGATCAGATCGGGTGTAGTGTGTGTCTGTGACTGCAGGTGAGTGACCTCAGGACGGGGTCTGATGGCTCCAGGCACCTCAGGACGGCCTCAGTGAGGGTCGGCAGCCACGGCAGCACTTTCTGCGGGAAACTGCGGGAAAATAACACACGACACACCGATTCGATCAGCAGGCATCCGCCACAGCGTTGACGCCACTCACTTGTTGACGAACCGCACCAGGACCAGGAGGGCCGAGTTGGCGTACGGCGCCCCCAGATCAAGACGCCTGACATGGCAAAAGAGACAGACAGACTGCATCACCTCCTTGACCTCTCTTGACTTGAGGCTTGGCTGCCTGGGTTGGTACCGTACCTTGCGGCGGCCCCCATGGCAGCGATGAGGAGTGAAGGGTCCTGTGTGCCGATCTGCTGCAGGATGGACAGGCATGGCGTGGCGTAGACAGGCTGCTGCGATAGACCCAACACGCGAAGCGACAACGTAAACAGCTCACCCTCCTCCTGACATGACACACAAACACACACACACCCATCAACACACACAACACACACACGCGCCTTCCCAGCTGCCCAGCTCCCGTCCGACATACATACCGCCGATCTGTTCTGCAGCGCGTCTCTGTCACCGAAGTCCCTCCTCACAGCCGATGCCGCCACGCTGCTCAGGTCCTTCATGTTCGGCGACTGTGCCGGTGTGGCGCCGTCGCCCCCCGCAATGGACGAGAGGCTCTGGAGGTGGATGCCCTGCTTGTTGGTGGCCGTAGGCAGCGCGTGGCGCCACAGAAATGAGAAGGCGAGAGCGAAGAACTCGCAGGAGAGGTAGGTGACGATGGTGCGGTTGGGGGGCGGCTGCACCTGCTGCTGCTGCTGTGAGTCGTGGGTGTGTGCGTGAGATGGGTGCTGCATGTGGGAGGGGAGGGGGGCCTGGGTGTGGGTTGAGCTGAACATGATGCGCAGCAGGGCCTGGGTCACTATGGGCGTCCCGAGGGATGGGGGGCGGCCTGCCAAGAAAGACGGAGACAGTGGTGACACCCACATGAGAGACCAGCTGCCTGTAGGTGGAGAGATGTACCTACCGTATTGCTCTGGTCGTTCGTAGCCCACGACAGCCAGGAAGGTGAGCGCCGCATCGTCCGTGCGAACCTGAACACAAAAACAGGACGGACAGACAGACAGACAGACAGAGAGACAGACAGAAGGATGCCATGAATGCAGCACAACTCAACCAGCGATGGCGCAAACACGCGCATGCCCACCCTGAAGTCGTGGTGTTGGTCGCTCCATATCATGGGCAGGGGTCTCTGGCTGCTGCCACCCGCAGCAACCACTGCCAACGCCGCCACGACCTCAAACGAATTCCGCATTGTCTGACAAACACCCCCACACACACAACCACACTCGCATCGCCATGATGCAGGCCGGTTGGTGCCTGTGTCTGTGTCTGTGTCTGTGTGTGTCTTCTCACCTCTTTCAGAATTTCGCTGTCGGATAGCCGCACCGCCCGCCTCAGAGCCATCTTGGCACTCTTGCGTAACGCAGAACTGCAAAATGCAAAACAGAGAGGTCGGCAGATCAAACTTATCCGCTGCTGGTTCCTCTGAACACCCATGTGATGGTTGACCCTTACTGACAATCTGGTCTGCAGCAGTATGTGTGCCAGGAGGATGAGCGACGGCATGGCGCCCTTCGGCCGCGGGTCCCTCCTCTTCCCGCCGCTCCCATGATGATACTCACCATCCTGCTCCGCGCCGCCACCACCACCACCAGCTCCTCCACGCCCCTTGCCGCCTGCACCTGCCCCCAGGATCTCCCGCATCATCAGCTCACGCAGCCACGGCAGCGACGCAGGACCCACAACCAGGGACGGTATCCGTCGGTTGCCAAATAGGTGGACGAAGAGGGTGTCGAAGCTGATGGCGAGGAGTGCCGACATGTGGCCGCTGAGAAGGTCGGAGAGCATGACGCCGCCGTCCCATGGGGGCACCTGTGGGGGGTATAGGGTGGGCACGAACTGCAGGGCGGACCCGATGGACCGCTGGGAGACGTCGCCCACGCCGCCTCGTTTGAGGATGCCGTGGGTCTTGTGGACGACGCCAGAGGCCTCCGATGATGTGGCACGGGCCGCGTCGACGTAAGAGGGGCTGGCTGTGGGCGGGGGCATGTGGGGCTGCGGGAAGGGCTCGTCCTCCTCTCCCCCCTGCTGCTTCATCTCCCTCCCCCTCTCCAGCCCCCGCCCCTGCGCAGCCTCCTGCATGGCCTTGGCGAAGTCAACAGTCCCATCGGCATCATCCTCCCCCTCACCGTCACCCTCGTGATCGATCTCCTGCTGGTCCCCTCTGTGGGGCGGCACAACATGGCGGCCAGCGGCCAAGGCTGACTTGGCCGCATCTGTGGCTGAATCGCTCTTACGCCGAAATGCTGGTGGCTTCGGCGGTAGGTCCTGGGCCGCCACCAGTTCGGGTGAGGATTCATCGCCTGATGGAGCGATGGATGGGCCGGCGCTTGTGTGAAGGGACTGCGAGTGGTCAGTGATCTTGATGACGGTGGGTTGGGGCGAGACGGATGGGGGGACGGGGGGGGCGGGGTAGGGGAGAGGGGAAGGGGCGTGCAGGGGCTCCGCTGACGGGCTAGAAGAGACGATAACCCTGCCACGTGACGACGGTGAACCATACTGGGCTGTGCCGACAACATATCTGCAAAGGACCAAACAGAGAGCATAAAACGAAAATGAGCCCACAAGGAAGGTGTCACTTGTTGTACTGGCCCATGGTCGGCTGACCTTCTAGACGCCTTGACAGGCTCGACGGTGGGCGCCTCCCCGTCATCCCTGCCGTCATCCCGCCTCCGCCTCGCGCGCATCGGCGACACATCCAGCACCGTCTTGGTCTTCAGATCGCCCACAGGCCGCCCTAACCTTCGGGGCCGCTCGTCCTCGTGCGCTACCACAGACGCCCTCCTCACACGTGGCGGCAAGGTCGGTGCCGCCGACTCGGCAGACAGATGGCGGCCCTCAACCCCTGCCCCTCCCTGGCCCGACGCTGGCTTGGGTGGAAGTGGGCCGCTGATGGGGGGCAGTGTCTTGGTGTCGGCGAGTGCGTCGAATTGTGAGAGTACGGGAGGGAGAGGTATGGAGAGGGTGAAATCGACGCCCACGACGGCGAGTGTGACGGGGCAGCATGGGAGGGTGAGGAAGGGGAGGTGCTGCTGCACCTGCTCGTCGCAGCTGCTGCTCAGGTGCCATGGGAAGAACAGAGACAGCAGGGGGAAGGCCGACAGGATCCACTCGAGACGGTCGGTGTAGGAGTGGTGCATATGCAGGCCCTTCGCCCCACCACTGCTGTGGCCGGCCTCCTCCTTCAGGTGCTGCACTTGGGACGTCATGGCGTGGATGAACTCCGCCACGGGCAGCAGCAGCACCCCCGCCGACGCCACGTACAGTTGCTCAGACACTTCGCCCCGCCCTCCATCGCCTGACGACGTGCTTGTGGTCCGGGGGAGGGCAGCCGGCAGCCGGAGGTCCGTGATGGCCAGCCCAAAGGAGGTGTGCGAGATGTGGGGCTGCGTGTGGGCGGCAAGAGCCGCCACATTGGAGGGGAAGGTCCATGCCTCGGTGGGTCTCCCAAGCCCTCCCAGCGGCGCCACAGGGGCCAGGTCGACGCGGCGCTCGAATGTGCCGGAGGGCAGGTGCCACACATAGGCCGCCACGCTGGTGAAGATGGCCAGCAGGTCCGTCTGCAGGTCCAGCACCACTCGTCGCACGTCGGAGGCCATGCACCCGCTCCTGCGGCTGATCTGGCACAGGATGGTGCCTCCATGCAGCTGCTGCATATGCCGTCTCGCCCCCCTGGCCGGCCGGTCGTCGGCCGTCCACTTGGCGGTCCAGAGGAGGGCGGCCTCTGGTGCTGTGCTGCGGCCGTGGTGGTGTGGGTTGTGGTGGTTGTACACGTGGGCCGCCTGTGAAGTGTCGAGGACACACATGTGGTTGGAGGCGTCGATCGACAGTACCTTGGAGGGGTCGCACCGCCACTGGCCATGCGACCCGTGGGGCTGCCGCATCGACGAGCCCCCCGCCCCTGACGGCGCCAGGTAGACCCGATGGAGGGCGATGACCGATGTGGCGTGACATGCCGGGTGGAAGCCTGTGAGAGTGAAGTCAGGCATGTTCCACCAGCAGAGGTCGCCAGACGTGGTGCCGCCGATCAGGAGGGACGACGCGAGCGCGCGGAGGACACAAATGGCCGGTTGGGGGGCGGCAGGGGGAGAGGGGGCGGGCGATTGCCGTCTGTAGGGCGTCTTGAGGTGGAACACCGAGAAATACGGCTGCGACGGGTCGACGTCTGGCGGCTGGTCCGAGTCGTCGACGGCTTCGTCGTGCTGCGGCTGCTGCTGGACCACCTCATCGCCATTGCTGTCGATGCTCCACCTGACGTGCAGATGGGGGTGGTGGGGGTGCACCTCACCGCTGCTGTCGACATAGCCGTCACCCTCGTCATGGTGGTGGGTCTTGCGCAGGAACTCAGACCGATCTTTGGACAGCGCATTGAGCCGCACAGCCGCTATGGCGCCGTCAGAGAAGGACTGCACCAGGAACACTCGGTGCTCGGCCTCCAGGATGCACGACGAGAGGCTCCTGCGGGCGGTGCTGACGGCATCCGCGGTCTGCTGGTGGGGGAGGAGGGGCGACTCGCGTGGGAAGAAGATGGACTGAACGCCCGCCCGTTTCCGCTGCGGCAGCTGCCAGATCTTCCGCAGCGGCAGGGTCTGCATGCTCCACCTGGCGGGTGGGGCTGCTGGTGAACAGCGTGTCTCTTGCCCTTGCCCTTGCCCGGCCATCCACACTTGCACCACATCCGGCAGAGACTCCGTCACAGCCCACAGCCCGATCGAATACACGGGGGCGGCGCTGGTCGAGCTCTTTCTCCACCTCTGTCCTTGCAGCGCGATAAAGCACGGCCCCACGGGATACGCACTGCCGGGGTCGCTGGGGGCCGCCTCACCTGTACCCCCTCCCGCCTCGCCCTCACCGCCCCCACTGATGGCCTCGGGCAGCGTCGTGAGCAAGGACGGTGATACCAGCTCGCTGTCTGACGTGCCTTTGGGCCTCTGCAAGGGAGTGGGGGTGTCGGATGAGGCGGTTGTCGAGTCGTCCGCCGCCCTCGGCCTCAACGGCGACTTCTGCCGTGACGGCGGGTTGACGTAGGTGTCGATTTGCCGCCTGCTGGATGGCGTGGACGTGGGCGGGCGTGTGGGTGCGGTGGCAGGGGGGTTGGTCTGGGAGAGGCAGTAGGTGTAGCATGCACCTGATGAGGTCCATGCCGCAAGCAGGAGCTTCCACGCGGAGAGGGAGGACGGCGGCCTCGAGCGACTGGCGGGAGCATCGGCGTCTGCGCTACATGTCAATAATGAGAGATACAACACACACACCGAGACAACACATGGTCGATCTGATCTATGTGGCATCTGTGGATGTGTGTGCATCTGTGTGTGTGCGTTTTCTCACCCAGTGGAGTCCTCATCTCGCAGCTCTGATGTCGCAGTGCCCTCCACATACAGCAGCTGCGCCCCCTCCCAGCCGCCCGCCGCACCTGCAGAGATCAGCGGTCCCCCGCCGGTCCTCTTGGGCATGTCGGGACAAAACAGGTCGATGAACGGCTGCAGCACAAACGTCACATCGCCCGAAGAGCCGTTGCCGCGCTTGCCCGACGGTGTGGGGGCTGGTGGCTGTTTGCGCCAGATGACGATGCGCGAGTGGCCGACGGCGACCAGAAAGTGTTTGCTGAGGGCTATGCGGTGGCATCTCGAGGCGCCCCGGCCCGCGCCGGTGACAGCGGGGGGAAAGCGTGTGGCGCTATCGTCGTCCGTCACGCCGAGAGAGCGGCCGGCAAAAGCCAAGAAGTCGTCTTCTTGCTGAAATCGGAATGCACACACCAGCCAACCACAGAGAGGGAGAGCCTCGACGGATACTACATGGCCATGAGCTCGCTCACCTTTTTGTCATGCTCCAGCGCGTCGCTAGTGAAGGTGGCCTTGAGCTTCATGGCCGCCCCAGCCCCACCCGTGCCGTCGACACCAATGCCATCCCCACCCCCACCGCCGCCTTTTTTGTCCTTATCGGCGGCCCCCGCCCCCCTCTCAATGCCCATGGGGATCCGAAACAGCTCGCCATCCTTCGGAGGCCTGACCAGTCGTGTGGCGGCCGCCTTGTCCAGGTCCCAGCAGAACACCTTGCCCTTCACCGATAGTGCTGCTGCGAGTGCAGGCTGGGGGGCGGGGGCGGTGGGCACAGCGATGCTCGACAGGGGCAGTGAGTCGGTGACGAGATGGCACAGCAGGGACTGGCTCCAGAGGTCGAACACGCACAGGGAAAGGCCGTCAGACAGCAGCAGGAAGTGGGTGTATGGCGCCGGGAAGACGCGCACACACTTGGCCTTGAATGGGATACGGTCTCTGAGGATGGCCAGACACCGGCCGTCGTTGTCGGACCACACGCGGGCGGCTCCGTCTTCATGGAGGGAGATGACCACATCCTCAGAGCATCCGGTGAAGAGCGGCGTCGGGCAGCTGCTGAAGGCCACGTCATGCACACCACAGGGGCCGGTCCAGTCGGGGACCAGCACGTGCCGGGGGATGAAACGCCGAATGCCGACGCACTCGGCGTCTGCCGCATCAGCAGAGTCGCCTTGTGCCGCTTGGGAGTGGCCGATGGAGACGGTCCAGAGGTAGATGTGGCCCGAAGTGCACCCGGTGGCGAGCTTGACGTGTGATGGATGGAAGGTGGCGCACGTGATGGACTGCTCCGCCTCGATATCAGGCCATATCGTGCACGCCAACCACACGTCAGATGAACCGCTCATCATGATCTCACTGACAAAAAGAGCCACTTAAACGTGATCTTGGTGGGCGGAGCTCCTCATGCCGGCAGCAATGGGCCCTCGTCGCCGAAATCCAGCGCATCTCGTCGACATCTGCAATCTGAGCTTGCACGTGTCGAGCTCGCATCGTTTCCCGTTGCTTTTTCGGTGCATTCACCGTGGCGCTGCGTCGAGATGGAGGTGCCTCGTCAGATGGGCGACAGCAGGGCGTTGGGCACCAGGTTGCTTAAGAAGGTCTTGGCTGAGGTGAGGGCGTCGGAGAAGAGGCAGGACCGGACAGAGGAGCCCGACGAGGTGGATCTGCAAGAGGGCGTGCAATTCTGGCCCTTCGAGGCGCCCTGGTGGCCCGAACCTGGCATGGTGAGTGACAGCCGTGTGTGGCAGAAGACGCCAGTGATGCTTAAGGCACGGCAGCATCGGATCTGTGTGTGTGCCTTTTTTTTGACGCAGGAGAAGGTGCGTGACGGCGATGAGGTGCTGTACCCCTACCCAAGCATGATCGTCAGCAACGGTGGGTAACACTCCAGCAATGTGTGTGTGGCTCCATGGATCTCTGTGCCTGTCTGCAGGCATGAGCGTGGACGCCTTCGAGCGGCCCGTGAGTGTGGGCCGCCAGTCGCCCCTCGAGGGGCTGAGCTGTGTTGTGGCCTGCCCCATCAAGGCGTCAGACGCCGTGAGCGACCAACAAACACACATACACAGCGAGGGAGGCGTCATGGAGTGATGTGGGTGTGGTGTGTTGATATCTGTCTGCAGTCGAGGGGCGTGACGGTGCGCGACTTCGTGACGGCACTCGAGCAGTGTGAGGATCCCAACACCGGCGACAATGAAGAGTGTGAGGACTCGGAGGGCTTCATCGAGGAGTGGGAGCAACAGCGCTCCGCCGCCAATCTGCTTCGACCCGACATAGAGGGCGGAGGAAAGACCGGGTGAGTGAGAGAGCGGCGGACACCGCACCACAACACACCGAGCGTGTGTTTCTATGCAGGTTTCTCATCAATATGGTGCGGGTGGCTACGGGGCGCTATCGCGTCATTTGGGACGATTCCAAGTGAGGTCGCCCGATATATATAGGCGTCGTGCCGATCCATTCGACGAGTGACAACATCAGCCAGCACTTTCATAATAATATGTCCTGTCCGTTGCTGGCGGCGGGCTGTCTGTAGGATGGGATGCATGAGAGCGGTCGCATGCCCCTGCTAGAGGCAGCTCGCCGCCTCTCTATGCAATGACTACAGCTGTGCATACTTATATTGTGTTGTGTTGGAGGGGGGAAGTGAGAAAGACATCAGATTCTTCTTCTTCTTTTCCTCAACGGCCTATCTTTGCCGATGGTGTTCCCCGGCGTGTCGTGACTCGGCCTCTGGCTGGTTTGGTGGTGCACCGTATCGATGTATGTCTGCACTGTAGACGGCATGGGTGGGACGAGCTGGGCGAAAGAAGCAGCAGATGGACTCACTTTGTGCCTGCCTACTTCCTCTTATGCACAGCGAAGGAACGAGAGAGCAGAGAAAGAGGGACGTACGGGAAAAAACTACGGATGGATCTGTATGTATGAGGTTGTATGTATGTATGTACTTGTGTTTGTGTATAGTTTGTGTGAGCATGTATGTCATCACGCCGGCAGGCAGGCAATTCACACGCGCAGGTATCTGTTGTGTCTCGGGTGTCTCCCCTTTCCACACTCTTGGCTACCCCGCGACAAACTTTCTTGGCTAGGCTCACGCAGTGTCCTCCGTGAAACCGAATCGAGATGGCAAATAAACAAGGCATTCCTTCTTCTCTGTCTTTTCGAGGTGGGAGATGCTCCGTCAGATGAACGACAGCAGCACTGCGGCGGCCACGCTGCTCAAGGAGGTCTTGGCTGATATCAAGTTGGCGGAGCGCAAGGGCGAGCGTCGGCAGGAGCCCGATGAGGTGGATCTGCAAGAGGGCGTGCAATTCTGGCCCTTCGAGGCGCCCTGGTGGCCCGAACCTGGCATGGTCAGTGAGAGCCGTCCATGGCAGAAGACGCCAGTGATGCTTAAGGCACGGCAGGATCTTTGTGTGTGCCTTTTGACGCAGGAGAAGGTGCGTGACGGCGATGAGGTGCTCTACCCCTACCCAAGCATGATCGTCAGCAACGGTGGGTAACACTTCTGCAATGTGTGTGTGGCTGGATCAGCCTGGATCTCTGTGCCTCTCTGCAGGTGTGAGCGTGGACGCCTTCGAGCGGCCCGTGAGTGTGGGCCGCCAGTCGCCCCTCGAGGGGCTGAGCTGTGTTGTGGCCTGCCCCATCAAGGCGTCAGACGCTGTGAGCGACCAACAAACACACATACACAGAGAGAGAAGGGCGCGTGATGAACGTTGTAGTGATGTGCCTGCCGTGTGTTGATGGTGTCTGCAGTCGAGGGGCGTGACGGTGCGCGACTTCGTGACGGCACTCGAGCAGTGTGAGGATCCCAACAGCGGCGACAGCGAGGAGTGTGAGGACTCGGAGTGGTTCATTGAGGAGTGGGAGCAGATCGCCACTCTGCTGCGACCCGACACAGCGATCCACGGCCGAGGAAAGACCGGGTGAGTGAGAGAGCGGCGGACACGAACGAATCCCGTCACAGCTAGAAAATGTTCCGTCGGTGTGTCCTTTAGATACCTGATCAACATGGTGCGGGTGGCTACGGGGCGCTATCGGGTCATATGGGACGATTTCGACTGCAATTGACAACCGAGGCAGGTGGGTGAGTGAGGTGGTTGAAAGAAATACATACACGGCCGGCAAGTCAAAGGCAGCCTCGTGCGTTGCTTGCTGCAGGCAGCGTCATGACCGAGCAATCCATCCGATGAGTGACAGCAACACCTTCCTCTGGCCAGCTAAGTGACTGGTCTGACTGTCTGTCTGTCTGTCTGCCTGCGACTCTATGACAGTCGGCTGGCTGCCTGTGCTGTCCCTCTCTGTCTGTACCTATCTGTTCTTGTTCGTTCCTGTATCTGACGGATGATTTTGGCTGGCTTGCTCTCGAAGGTCTCGAACGTGTGGTGGTGCGGCATATCCATGTCTGCACTGGCGACACGTGCGGGATGGCCGAGACGAGCCGGACAAAGGCACCAGCAGATGGACTTACTCTTCTTTAATTGTCTTTTTCTTGCTACACATCCTGCCGGCCTGTTTGTCGCACATTGTGAGTCGAATGATTCGTGTACAGAGAGAGAGAGAGCGCGCTACAGAAAGGGATACATGGGTGGGTAAACTTTAGTTCGTGGCCCGTATGAGACTGCTGTATGTTGCGTGACCCGAGGGAGAAGGGCTGACTTACGTGTTTGTACATAGCTGTGTTCATGCCTACCTGCCATCACGTCGGGCACCCGCACTCACATAGTCGGCTGACAGGCTTTTGCGCAGTTGATTTCTGTCCATGTCCATGGTATGTATATCTCCCCTTCCCGCTCGAAAGCACACGCTTGTCTATCCCAGTCAGGGTACAGACACTCTTGTCTGCCGATGCAGACGCTGTCTTTGCAAGCATCATGATCACCAGAACCCCCCAGAAACACTCAGACATTCGCTCACACTGACCAGAAGACAACACCCAGGCCTAGATAGATAGCTGGCCTCGTGACACACACTCACTAGTAGTACTCAAATCCTTCATCAGTCTCCTCTGTGCAGCATCCCACGCAGCATGCACCGAGCCTTTCACAAATGACTCTAATGAGTTGGCAGATGAGCCAAGTCCCCCCTGTAACCACGGTAACATAAAGTGCCCTCAGGATGCCATACTGCCACCAAGTAAGTGTAATTGTGTCCCGCGTCACGTGGAGGAGGGGGACGACGAGCACGGCAATTGCGACCATACCTGCATCCACCACACAAACCGAATTCAGATGTTCGTCGGTCTCTGGTGAGAGCGGCTCGTGGGGCCTGACCTGTATTCAAAGCCTGTGTGTTTGCAAGCCTCGAGAGGGAAAAAAGGACGGCGATCCTTTTGGGGCCGTGAGGTGGAGCCCTCTCCCTTCCCTCCCCTCTTCCCCCCTCCTTTTCTCCCTTCCCACCATGCGCCCGCAGAGGGGGATAGGAGAGCCAAAAAGACCCAACAATGCATACTACGAGTACTTGCTGGCCCATCAAGTCATCGAACGATATCCAAGTGGGGCCACGCGACACAAGCCTTCCTCCCTCATCCATCCGTCAGTTCCTGCTCTCCTGTTGCTCAGGGGCTGTGTGCGAGCACCTGCTCCGTCACCCTGCACTGCAGCGTCTGTTCCTGGACTCGCTCCACGAGATGGTCGATGGCGGCGTGGTGCACATCAATGAGGTGACCAAGGCATTCGATTTGGTCGAGGACATCAACAAAAGACAGCGATACAACTTCGTCTACATGCCCGAAGCAACCGTCATGCCTAGAGTGTCATACCCCCCGCCCCCTTCGGCTGCCGTCTACCCCGCAACACAGACCCGTCCCGTTGCTCTCGACCTCCCTGAGGATTGGTTCACTGTCGAGCAGCAGCGGCCACTCGCCGGCCACACACAAGAGCCCGACTACTTTGCGGTGACCGGGACAGCAGATGGTGTCGCCCCCCGGCCGCCACCGACTCACACAACAATTGTCACGGGCGGCCTCGCCAGCCACCCCACTGGGGCCAGCCTCGATTGGCAGCAGATCCACTCCGTGCCCTTCCGTGAGTCGACAGGGATGACAACCAGCCCACCGAACAAGCGCTTCCACATCCCCGAGAGTTCCGTCCTCCACAGCCCTCCCCCATTCACGCGGCCGGACATCCCTCGGAAGTGGGGCCACTGGGAGCCGGCACCCACCATTCCCCTACAGCAAGACGAAGACGCAGGGGCCGACGAGGGAGGCTATGGCGTCAGCCGCTTTGCACCCGTCCAGCCGCTGCATCCTACCGATCCATATCATTCTGCGCTGAAGGTGGGGCTGCAGGGGCGGGGTGGTGTTGGGGAGACGGGCAGGGAGAGGAGGGGGGTGAGGGAGGGTGGGGTGATCTGGGCAGGGGATGACGTGCAGACAAGGTATCGGGGCGCCGAATACGTCAGCGTCCTCCAGGAAAGGCAGCTGCGGCTGTACAAGATGCCAGCACCTAGTGAAAGGCAGAAATCAGCATGAATCGGTGGCTGTTGGGGGGCTGGCATGTGTGTGTGCGTCCACTTCTTGCCTGATTAAGTAGTGGTCTGGGTATGCAGCGTCTGCATATCATTGGAAAGTGCTTGGCCTGCGAAGACGCCTTTGCTGATCCATAGTTTCTCACGTCATTTTCGAAAGACCATTGTCACGGCACCCACGCAGCGTCCACGAACAGCAGTCTCGTTCAACCGAAAAACAGTCCATCAGGCTCTGACCTCTCATTAGGCAGGCAATCAGACACCTCAAACCACACCGACCCACCCACCCACCCATCCTTAGCATCACCACAGCCACTCCTCCCATTCCTTCACAGAATGCTCTGCACCTTGTCGTCCAGCTTTTCCCTCAGGTCGCCATACTCGTTTCGCCGGGCGTCGAGCCCCTCTGCCTTCTTGAGGTCGCCCAGCTGGAAGGGCCAGAGGAACTTGAGCACATCCTTGGCCCGCTCCCCGCCCTTGAAGACCTCCTGCACCATGTCCTCCACACAGAGCATCCCCAGGTGGCCCAGGTGGTCCTCCACATATGTGTTGTCCGTCAGCGGCTCCTTCTTGGTGCGTCCGGGTACATGCAGGCGGGCCCGTTTGCTGAAGAGCTGACGGACAGTCGACAGAGTGGGAGGGCCGTAGAAGATGAAGGGCTCCACGCTCTTGAGCCTCGCCACGTTGTCGAGGTTGTTGAGCACCAGCACACCCGTGAAGGCCTTGGTGAGTCCCAGGCCCTTCAGCGCGCCTCTGGTCGCCGCATTGCCGCCTTTCCGTCCGTTGCGGACAGCTAGAAAGACAGCCGTGGAGTGCTTGAGCTTGGCGCTCTTGGTCCTCCTCTGCTCGCGGGTCTGCCGCTTTCTGTCGAGGTGCCGATTCCGATACTCCTTGATGAGCTTCTGGACCGTCACGATGGGCGAGCGCCGCTGCTTCTTGACAGACTGCTCCTTGGCCAGCGCGATCTTCCTTCGCCGCTCAGCGATGCCGGCAAGGTCATGACGCCGCTTCCGCAGGACAGTCTCAGACACCTTGATGCTCTCGCCCTCTCGCCGAGGCTTCAGCTGACCAGAAGGGCCACTCGACAGGTCAGGACCTTCATCGACCTCCATGGGAAAGAGGGGATGAATGCAACGAGCACAGGCGGTTCCGCAACGCAGCTGGGAAAGAGAAAGTGGAGGAGATGGGTGGAAACGAAGTGAAGGGTTTGGGGCAGAGGGTTTCGGGGTGGGGGTTGTGGGCCGAGCTCGGATCTGCCAGTGCCTTCTCTGCCGTTCTAATGCGCTTTTCTGGCCTCTGAAGGCCAACATAGAGATCGGACGAGATTCTCGGAGACGAGAGACAACTTTTTTTTCGCTTTTCAGATTTATTTCGTTTTCACTCATTTCAGAGGTGATCCTCAGCTTTCTGCGCCTCTCCCTTTTCCGCATCTCCCCGGCTTCGTCGCCATCTCATTCTCGTCTTATGTGGCCCGCCCGAGCCCCTCCCGAGCCTCCCCGTTTGTGCGGGAGTCGGCGCGTCACTTTTTTCTTCCGCTGTTCGAGAGACCTCGGCAAGGGGCGCCTCGGCATCTGCCGAGCGCCGGATGACTCCTGGCGTCGGCGAACTGCTCGTACGCCCTGTCTCTTCTTCAAGAAATCCTCTTCAAGTTGTCCGGTGAGGTGAGTGCGTGTGTGTGGTGACCTCGTGTGGTGTGCGCCTTGCTTGTGTGTGGTAGTTCAAGTGAGGCCTGTGTGTGAGCGCATCGTCAAACGGCCGCTCCTGACACGTGTGATGGTTGCCGATGGCATGCTGTCGCCGTTTTGTGCGTTGTGCGGCTTGTTGCGTCCCTTCTCTTGGCTGGTGTGATGGGTGGATGGATGGATGAATGGATGGTGTGCAGCGATGAACGCATGCTCCCATAGGCAGCAGCCCTTGTGCTCATGAGTCTTCTTGTTTGTCGCCTTTGTGTGCAGCTGAAATTGTGATTCTTTGATGGCCGTCTCCTTTCTCGACAGGGACCCCAAAAGGCAATGCACAGCCTCAGCAACAGTCCAAAGATGGTGAAGTCTTACTCTCTCTGTCTGTCTGTCTGTGTGTGTGTGTGTGTGTGTCTGTCTGTGTGTGTGTGATGCATGTGACCTGCAGCCGTGTGACTGTGTGGGAGCGGCGATACGACGACCTCGACCAGGAGCTGAGGACCAAAGACGATGCGCTCCGGTCGGTACATCCACACATCCTAACCACCGGCAGATTGATAGACGTGATGTGATTGATGCACACAAACATGTGCACGTCGCATTTGTTGTCGTGCTGTTGGTTCTTAGGAGTATCACAGAGGATCGCGACAAGTGCCTGGCCGAGTCACTCGAGACCATCCAGAGGTAGGGGGGGAGGGGAGGGGGGTAGCAGAGTGTGTGTGGATGGATGGATGGTCCGTGTCATGTGCCTGCCTGCCTGGCGGCTCTCCTCCCTCCTCTTTGCTGTGCTGCAGTCTTGAAGATCAAGTAGAGGAGCTGACGGCCAAGCTGACGGCCATGGCGGAGCAACACGGACGTACATTTGAGACAGAGGGGAGGGGGCGGCCCCCATGATATGTATATAACCATACATACATGTCTTGCCATGCTCATTCGATGTATGTATGTATGTATGTATGTATTGCGTCCCTCCGTCTCTGTGCTGTGCTGTGCTGTGCTCTGCTGTGTCGTTTGTGTCAGGAGGCTGCTCGAGCACTCATCGCCGGTGAGCGCCAGTTGTTCGCCGAGCTGTTTGACGAGTACAAGTACAAGCTCTTCTCCAACGTCGACTATGCCCAGCGGGAGATGGCACATCTCCGAGACGAGGTGGTCTGGACACGACAGGCCTTGGGACGACGCACAACGGGTAAGTTAAGTGGGTGACATACATACGCGTGGTTCGTGTGTGCACTGCACTTACTGACTGCAGCACGGCGCCACCGAGCGGGCGGCCATCTTTAAGAACATATACGAGGCGTTCGGAGACCGGCTCGCCAACACTGAGGTTGACCTGGAGAAGGACCGCATCAAGGCCGACCTCGCCGAGTAAGCCAGCCAGCCAGCCAGCCAGACAAACGGACGAAACACACAACGGACGCACTCACATCATGGGGATGTCTGTCTGTCTGTGTAGAGAGCATGTATCCCTCTACCGAGACATGGTCAACGGTCTACTGGACGAGGGGCGGCTGCCCGCTGACGTGCTGGCCGAGCTCAAGAATGCACTGGCGCACATCGATGAGGTAGGCGCGACGTACAAGAGACATCCAACAGACAGCCCTCGCTTCGATTGTTGGGTATGATTGATGGATGTCATTTGTGTTCAGCTGGCCACCAAGCACACCAAGTGCGAGAGGGAGCACACCATCTCGGTGAATGAGCGTGCAGCAGGCCAGCCAGCCAGCCAGCCGCAAACGCGTCATATCTACCGGACTGACTTGCCCTCCCTCCCCCATTTATGTTCTCGGTCGGTTATGTCAGTGTCTCAAGACTCAAGTCAAGGCCGCGAGGTTGCTCCCTCAGCAACATCGTTGCTTACATTTTATATTTGGGCGGAATGTGTCTCCTCTTCCGACGTTGAGGGCTGAGGTGAGAGAGATGAGCGAAACAAAAGCACAGCAAGGACCCACCACTCTGTCCGCTGGTGGAGGTCAGGTCGGGAGGGACGGCAGCTTGTACGTCAGCGAGACCGAGCCAACGCCCACGCCCACACCCACCACACCCACCCCACCAGCGGTTCGACGAGATCGGATCCAACGCCGCAACACCCTCTCGTGAGCGAGCTCATTCACAGGCAGACAGCGCAGTGAGTGCCTTTTGTATGTATGTATGTTTGGTGGCTGGTTCATTCATTTCTGGTCTTTTGCCATCCATCCATCCATCAGGCGGAGAGCGAGTGAGGAGATAGAGACGCTGAAGGCGCGTGTGCGGGAGCTGGAGGAGGACCACCACACGGAGGTCGGCATGCGCACCAAGTGAGCACACACAATGCACCCACACAACGGATGCGATGCGATGCATGTGCATACCGACTCACATGTGAGCTTCACATCGTTTGTGCTGTCTGTCTTTGCTGCTTTACTTCAGGTATATCCTAGACACAGAGGCCAAGAAGGACAGGGCGCTGGCTGACTTGGAGGAGGCCAAGGCCGAGATGCAAAGGCTGCCCAACGAGCTGGCCCAGGCCAACAGGTGCGCCGCGCAAACCTCCCACCCACACCCACACCCACACAACACATCAGTTTCTCCTTTGTGTGTGTTGGGGTGCCTAAGGTGCTCCCCGAGACCGCTGCTGCAGCGGGGCTGGGGAGTAGTACTAGTAGTAGGGCCATGATGTCCTTTCGCGGGAGGCGGAAGAGCCTCCCTCGCGGGAGGTGGGAGAGGCTCGATGAGGATGTCCCCCCAGGGAAGAGGTGGTGGAAGAATGAATCTGATGAGAACTATCCCCGTCCCCGTCCCCCTCCCCAGCCCGTGCACCTGTCGGCACTGCAGCGCACCATCCCGGAACGTAAGTCAAAGAGAAAAGAAAGGCCTCATAGACAGATTTGCTCATATCTTCTCTTTTTTCCCTCGCAGCGGGGATTCCACGGTGGGCTGCTGGGGGAGACCAAGCGGTGGCTGGCGGAGAAGGCCCGCTACGCCGAGAGGGAGGTGCGGTCGCTTCGCGACCAGCTGAAGTCGACGCGTCAGGACCCGGTGTGTATGTGTTTGTTGCTGGTGTGCAGATCGTTGTCTACATTTTATATCTGACGGACTGATGACGACCCATCGACAGCACCGCCTTGTCCCGCCATCTGCGCATCGAATGTGAGCTGTCAAAGCAGACTGATCGACTCCACTGTATGTGTCTCGGGGATGTGTATGCAGAGCGATGGCTGTCTACTTCATCCAATTTTGGCTCCTATTAGTACGTATCCCCGGCGGCGCCTCAGGTACGTAAGTCAAAGAGAGAAGAAAAGACTCATAGACAGATTTGCTCATATCTTCTCTTTGTTCCCTCGCATACTTGGCCGCCTTGGCGGCCACCGAGAGACGTACTTTGGTCATGGAGCTAGGGAAGACCTCCACGACCTTCATTTGTGTACACACCACGCCCTTGTTTTGGCCAAGGAGGTGCGCTCTCTGTCTATGTATGGATTTCCGTGCAGCCGTCGTGAAATGTGGGTCGCGGGGACGGGGAAACCAACGCCAAGGACACAGACCACCAGGTGAGCACAAACACACATATACACACACACACACACACGTATGCAGAGACGCACAATGTGTGTATGGGTGTGTGCAGTTCAGGCCTCTCCTACTTCATTCAAGTTTGGCTCCCGGAGGCCCCAAAGGTGCGTAAGTGAGGGAGAACAGAAGAGACTCATGAACATCCGCTCATGTCTCTTCTCTCCTCTGTGTGTCTCCCTCTGCATATTTGGCCGCTTCGGCGGCCACCGAGAGACGACCTTGGCCAAGCTGCAGGACGAGGGTAGGAGGAGGACCCTCCACGACCACGCCAATCGGTGCGCCGCGCCAGCCCCCCACCCACACCCACCCACACACGCACACATCAGTTTCTCCTTTGTGTGTGTTGTTTGGTGTGTGGCATGTAGGCGGGCTGACACGTGGCAAAGGCGCCCCACACCCAGGCATATGCACATCAGATGCCGCTGGCTGTCTGATGTGCTGTATGTATATCAGTGCTCTGACGAGAGCCAAGGAGGCCGCCGAGGCGCAGAAGGCGTCCACCGACTCGGTGCTCAAGATCATGGTCGACAAGGTGGTCAAGCTCGAGAAGGACATCGAGAGCTTTTCGCCCACCAGCCCACAGGCCACCATCAGGTGGGTGTCGATCGCATCACTTCACTCACGTCGGACAGCACACACACACACACATGCATGTCAGTCATTTGTTTGTGTCTGTCTATCTGCCAACCAACCAGGGAGGCAGGCGCGAGCGAGAAGATGATGGTGATTCGAGGGACAGGGATAGAGATAGGGAGGGGCGGCGGGAGCGGGACAGGGACAGACACGACGACCACCGACACAGATGGGGTGGGCGCATAACACAACACAACACAACACAGGATGCGCACCGATGGTCTTGCGTGTGTGTGACTGTGTGTGTGTGTGTGTTTTCTGTGGCAGAGGATGGGAGCCGTAGAGATGGAGATGGAGATCGGAGGTACATGCATACTTGCCCCCTACACATACACATACACGCGCGCGCGCGCGCGCGTTGTATGACACAATGTGTGTTGGATTCTTTCACCGTCCTTCTGTATATGTGTGGATCTATCACGGACAGGAGGGACGACAGAGACCGCAGCCGGAGCCACGATAGGGACAGTCGTAGCCGTGACCGTGACCGATATGTGCCTTTCTCACAAAGCAGGCGAGCATCTGTATGTAATGCAGCGACCCGGAGAAGAGGTATCGGAAGTCGCATCGGCAGTCGCTCGACCCCTCGGCTGGGTGGTGGGGAGCAGCACCTGCTGCCGCTGCTGCAGCTCCAGGTACAGAGAGTGAACGTTTCACACGTGTCCCTTGAATGCGTGTCGCTCTGTTTGTGTGTGTTGGTTGGTCAGCGGCTGCAGCAGCAGCCGCTGCTGCGGGTGTGGGGGGCAGTGGTGGCAAGCGTGGGCATGATGAGGATGAGGAGCAATATGACCCTAACAAGGATCTTAGTGTACCTGCACACACACACACACACACACCCCTACCTCACACACCAAGCAATGCACCCGTGACATCCCCCTCTCTCTGTGTGTGTGTGTTGAATGAGTGCAGGCGGCCAAGCGCCCAGCCGATGACGACGACAATGAGGACGGTAAGTGCCCGTTGACACAGAACTGATGCACGCGCCACTGGCGTCTGAATGTGTGTGTCAGATGAGGATGAGGATGTGTCCGTGTCTGCTGCTGGTGGCATGTTGAGGATCCCTATGACACACACCTGGTCTGCCTGCCTGCTCATTGGGTGCCTGTCTGTGTCTTCATCCGTCCATTCGTCGTGCAGACAAGATAGAGGACCTGGAGCGACAGCTGGCGAAGGCGCGCGAGCACGAGTCAGCATACCAGCGAGCGTTGCAGGACAAAAAAGGTGAGCAAGAAAAGGCCAACGCACGAGGGTTTCAGGACACACCTGGTCTGCCTGCCTGCTCATTGGGTGCCTGTCTGTGTCTTCATCCGTCCATTCGTCGTGCAGAGAAGATAGAGGACCTGGAGCGACAGCTGGCCGAAGTGAGGGGCAAGGCGCGCGAGGAGCCGCAGGAGGAGACCTTCGAGAGCCTGTAAGCCACACATGCACACACGCACTGACCCGTGTACACACATGTCAACGAACATCATGTCCACGTCCATTCAGAGCGTGCTTTCGGGCACAAGTACTCCAGCAGCTTGACCGACAGCATGACCGACAGCAGAAGATAGAAGACTACATGCCCGAGGTAAATTGATGACCCGCACGTACATACAACCGACATGGATGCCGAAACCATGCGCTTCTCGCTCCTCAGGCCAGAGAGGACGTAGAGGCACTGCTGCTGGCCCTGTTGGACAAAAGCAAGGAGGACTTCGAGAGAGAGTGCGCCCGATATCAATGACCAATATGCACAGAGACAGCTGCGCACTGTCTGTCAGTTCATCTGCCTTCTGTGTGTGTATGCGCAGGATAGATCGCCCCGCTGAGGATTTCACCAAGCACGACCAGAACAACAACAGCGAGGCCACAGAGAACAATGCCACGTACCGCGAGAAGGTGAGCGAGTGCCACAAACATCCGCTTCTTTTGTACATCATCGTCTGCCTGTCGGTTTGCAGCTCCGTTGGCAGTGGCAGGAGAAGCTCCTGAAGGAGTACCTGGCTAAGAAGCCTGTGTGGCTAGACGACGACAATGTGGATATAAATGGAGGGCCGGGTCATCCACCGATTTGTTGTGCAGATCGTTGTCTACATTTTATATCTGACGGGACTGATGACGACCCATCGACAGCACCGCCTTGTCCCGCCATCTGCGCATCGAATGTGAGCTGTCAAAGCAGACTAATCGACTTCACTGTATGTGTCTCGGGGATGTGTGTGCAGATCGTAGTAGGACCATGTCCTTTTCCAGAGTTCTAGCCCGCGGGAGGCGGGAGAGCCTCGGTTCCGGATGGTGGGATGATGAGCAGCGTCCCCGTCTCCCTCCCCTTCAGGTGGGTGATCCATCGCTTCGCATCAATCACGTCGGCCACACATGCATGTATGTCATTTGTTTGTGTCCGTCTATCTGCCAACCAGGGACCTCACGAGACTGGGGAGTAGTACTAGTAGTGGGACCATGATGTCCTTTCGCGGGAGGCGGAAGGGCCTCCCTCGCGGGAGGTGGGAGAGGCTTGATGAGGATGTCCCCCCCAGAGAAGAGGTGGTGGAAGAATGAATCTGATGAGCACCATCCCCGTCCCCGTCCCCCTCCCCAGCCTGTGCACCTGTCGGCACTGCCGCGCACCATCCCGGAGGACTGCACAGTGCGCCGCAGGTACGTAAGTCAAAGAGAGAAGAAAGGCCTCATAGACAGATTTGCTGATATCTTCTCTTTTTTCCCTCGCAGCGGGGATTCTACGGTGGGCTGCTGGGGGAGACCAAGCGGTGGCTGGCAGAGAAGGCCCGCTACGCCGAGAGGGAGGTGCGGTCGCTTCGCGACCAGCTGAAGTCGACGCGTCAGGACCCGGTGTGTATGTGTTTGTTGCTGGTGTGCAGATCGTTGTCTACATTTTATATCTGACGGACTGATGACGACCCATCGACAGCACCGCCTTGTCCCGCCATCTGCGCATCGAATGTGAGCTGTCAAAGCAGACTGATCGACTCCACTGTATGTGTCTCGGGGATGTGTGTGCAGAGCGATGACCGTCTACTTCATTCAAGCTTGGCTTCTATTAGGATCCCCGGCGGCGCCTCAGGTACGTAAGTCAAAAAGAGAAGAAAAGACTCATAGACAGATTCGCTCATACATATCTTCTCTTTGTTCCCTCTCATACTTGGCCGCCTTGGCGGCCACCGAGAGACGTACTTTGGTCATGGAGCTAGGGAAGACCTCCACGACCTTCATTTGTGTACACACCACGCCCTTGTTTTGGCCAAGGAGGTGCGCTCTCTGTCTATGTATGGATTTCCGTGCAGCCGTCGTGAAATGTGGGTCGCGAGGACGGGGAAACCAACGCCAAGGACACAGACCACCAGGTGAGCACAAACACACACACACACACACACACACGTATTCAGAGACGCACAATGTGTGTATGGGTGTGTGTGCAGTTCGGGCCTCTCCTACTGCATTCAAGTTTGGCTCCCGGAGGCCCCAAAGGTGCGTAAGTGAGGGAGAACAGAAGAGACTCATGAACATCCGCTCATGTCTCTTCTCTCCTCCATTTGTCTACGCATATTTGGCCGCTTCGGCGGCCACGGAGGAACGGGGTGGGCGATGTCTGCATTGCATGATAGGACAGGGGCACGGCACACAACAAACAGGCAGCAGACTGGCAGACAGACGTCCATCTGTATGTATGTATGTATGTCGGCTGCGTGGGTCTTTCAGGTCGAGAAGTCCCTGACTACGACTGGCCCGGACCTCACGAGCACTACCGGGGACAAACACAAGGTGAGTGCGCCTCTAAACCCACCGACTCACCTATGTGCCGTCGTTGTGTGCGTGCAGCTCGAGATTCACGACAAGGACACCAAGATAACCACGGTACGCACACACGCACAGAGACACTGACACAGAGACAGACCCATGATAACCCGCACTTCACACCCGTGCTGTTCTCAGAAGTATCACAGAGGATCGAGACAAGTGCCACGAGCCACGTGCTGATCTAGCGGTTCGACGAGATCGCATCCAACGCCGCAACACCCTCTCGTGAGCGACCAGTGTGTTTGGTGGCTGGTTCATTCATTCTTGTCTTTTGCCATCCATCCATCCATCAGGCGGAGAGCGAGTGAGGAGATAGAGACGCTGAAGGCGCGTGTGCGGGAGCTGGACGACCACCACACGGAGGTCGGGATGCGCACCAAGTGAGCACACACAATGCACCCACACATCGGATGCGATGCGATGCATGTACATACCGACTCACATGTGAGCTTCACATCGTTTGTGCTGTCTGTCTTTGCTGCTTTGCTTCAGGTACATCCCAGACACGGAGGCCAAGAAGGACAGGGCGCTGGCTGACTTGGAGGTTGCCAGGGCCGGGATGAACAGGCTGCAGAACGAGCTGGCCCAGGCCAATCGGTGCGCCGCGCCAGCCCCCACCCACACCAACACACACACAACACATCAGTAACTGTTTCTCCTTTGTGTGTGTTGTTTGGTGTGTGTTGTGTGGCATGTAGGCGTGCTGACACGTGGCGGAGGCGCCACAAGGACACGGACGAGCAGCTCAAGACCCGCGACGATTCGCTCCGGTGAGTGACCACCACACACCACACCCAGGCATCCGCACTCCTTCACACATTGATGCCGCTGGCTGTCTGATGTGGTGTGATGTATATACATCAATCAGTTCTCTGACGAGAGCCAAGGAGGCCGCCGAGGCGCAGAAGGCGTCCACGGACTCGGTCCTCAAGATCATGGTCGACAAGGTGGTCAGGCTCGAGAAGGACATCGAGAGCTTCTCGCCCACCAGCCCACAGGCCACCATCAGGTGGGCGTCGATCGCTTCGCTTCACTCACGTCGGACAGCCCACACACACACATGCGTGTCATTTGTTTGTGTTGTTGGTGTCTGTCTATCTGCCAACCAACCAACCAACCAACCAACCAGGGACCTGACGAAACGGATCGCGGCACTGGAGCAGGAGCTGAGTGACAAGCAAGAGGAGATGCACATGCTCGTGGCCGCAGGTGACGAGGAGGCCGACCGGACACTCGACACCATCAAGACGTACGTAAGGGAGGCGAGAGGGAGGGAGGGAGGGAGGGAGGACACACATGTGCCTTGTTGACTCACCCACGTGAACTGGTGGTTGGCGTCGGTCAGGTGCGAGGAGCAAATGGGGCGCCTGGCAGCGCAGAGGGCGAGGGCGCACAAGAAGACCGAGAAGCTGCGGCTGCACAAGGCGAAGCTCGTCGAGGGTTCCAAGGCGCTGGTGGCCCAGCGAACGGCCCTAACACACCGACTGGTATGCACGTCATCATCATCAGTCACATATAAGTACATACGGACTTGTGTACCCTCACTCACTCAGTGTTCCCTCCCTCCCTCCCTCCCTCCCTCCCCTGCTTGATTCCCTCCATGTGCGTGTCCAGGAGCGCAAGCAGACCACACATCGGGTATGTGAGTACATTATGCACACACCATACACAGACAGGGAGAGAAGGCATGGGGGTCTGTGTGTTGCAGTCTGGCCAAGTGTTTGCCGCACTGAGGGCCAATGTGACCATCGCCAGAGCGGAGAAGGACCTAAAGGTAAGGTATCCATCCCACAGCATCTCGTGACTTCTGTCCGGCACAGAAAAGTCTCCCTGTCTCTGCCTTCATCCACCCACCCCACTCATGTCTCCGTGTCTCTGTCTTCAGACCATTGCTGCGTACATTTTATATCCGGATAGTCTCTCTTCACGCCATGAATGCCGGCTGCCGATCTCAGCTCAGCATCATGCGTTGACCAGCCTCAAAGCCTTCCAAGACTTTACGCATGGACAGGGGCCATACCCATGCAGATCTAGATACAGTGCATCGGGCCATCCCGTGAGCTCTGTCTGCTTTGAAGGCACAGCGGGCATTCATCATGTGTCCTTCCTTCTTGACCCTCATTTCTCCGCCTATATATCTCCAGGACACTGCGATCGTGGCCTTGTGCAAGGAAGGTACACATCTTAGATACGATAGAGATGATCGCTCACACATGCCATGCCGCCGGCGCCTTCCTTCATCTCTCTCTGTCTGTCTGTGTGTCTAGCGTATGGAGGCTGAGTTGGAGGGCACCAAGGAGAGGGGCCAGTACGCCGTCGATAGCACACGACGCATCCTCGCCGCACGAGCCATGTACACACACAGAGCACACCGCGGTTCCCTCCCTCCGTCCGTCCCTCACCCACTCTCTCTCTCTGTTTGGTTTGGTTTGCATATATGGATGCAGCCGTGACAAGTTGGTTGGCCAGAGGAGACTCGAGCTCAGCTGCGCTCTGCACTCCTGGCACCGCCAGTCACGTGCACGTGCCACTCCCCCCCACCCGCCGCCCCAATCGCTGGTGGAGACGTGTGAGCTGGGCTGCCAGACCGGTGGGGCATTGGGTGGGGTGGGCGTGGGCGTGTTGGTGAAACTACCTGAGACCCGCGATGTCAGTACAGCCACCGAGACCGAGGCGAGAGAGACAGAGGACAGAGCCGCTCAGACAGATAGTCGACGGGACGACAGAGACCAAAACAGGTGGGATTGTCGTTCATTCATTTGTTGTGGCGCTTTGGTTGGTTGATGTGGTGTGGTGTGGTGTTGCTCGGCTCGGCTCGGCTCGCAGGTGTGTGGGTGCGGTGGGTCTGAGTGGGCTGATCAGTCGTCGCAACGAGCTGCACGGCCGATCCCCTTCATCGGCTCTGGTACGTACGTACGTACGTACGTGTGTGTCTGTCCCTTTCTCCCTCCCTCCCTCCCTCCCTCCCTCAAATATATCCCATTCATAGTAATACTATGTATTATGTACGTACCACTTGTTTTCCTTCAGGTCGAGTTGGCCTACTCTCACTCCCCGCCGTATGCATTGCATGTATGTAAGGCCCCATCCATCCATCCATCCATCCATCCACATCATCATCAGTCACACAAGTACGTGTGTACCCTCACTCACTCTTCCCTCCCTCCCTCCCTCCCTCCCCTGCTTGATTCCCTCCATGTGTGTGTCCAGGACGCCTCGGTCAGCTCCCGCTTCCTCACTGCCGCCGTCTTCAGTGCATGGAGGCACCACACCGCCGCCCACAGGAGCAAACAGCTGGTAGGTCAGGTCAGTAGTAGTATGTTTGTGTGAAGGCGTGCTTCTCCTCCCCTCTACGTTTACTGATTCTGTTCGGTCGGCCCTTTTCTGTCTTGCTTTGTTTGTTTGCAGTCGTGTCGCAGCAGCCCCGAGCGGTTCTACTGCGGGCTGCTCGGGGAAACCAAGCGGTGGCTGACGGACAACGCCCGCTACGCCGAGAAGGAGCTGTGGTCGCTTCGCGACCAGCTTCAGGCGACGCGTCTCGACCTGGAGGTGGCCAGAGCGGTGAGTGAGTGAGAGCCATGGATATCGATTGTCTTGCTTGATGTCGTGTGTGTGCAGGATGCGTCTCCCCTTATCAACATGGCAATCGCAGCGACTTCCATGGCCCGGGCGATGAGCGACGACCTGAGGCGCCTTCTTTGGGAGAGGGAGATGGAGCTGGAGGTGTTCAAGGAGAAGTATAATGGCCATGTGAGTAGGGGTGGGCTGGCTGCACATGTGCCTTGTCGTCACTTTTCTCCTTCTAGCGTTGCCTACATTTTATATCCGGAATGCAAGTGTCTCCCACTTCGCCGCAAACTGAAGCCGCTCTCATTTCGCCGGTGACAAAGAATCATTGTCTACATTTTACATCGATGCCCTCGTCCGTAGAGGACCTCACCCGCCTGCATGCGTGGGCTTTCATTGGCTGCTTCCTTCAGGTGTCGCAAGAGGCTGACAGCCAACATCGTTGCCTACATTTTATATCTGGGCGGAATGTGTCTCCTCTTCCGATGTTGAAGGCCGAGGTGAGAGGATACATACACGCTGTCCCTTGATTGCCTTTTGGATTTCCTTTCATATTAGATAACGGTCCCTTTTGTGTCGATTGGGGCGATCATTGGAAAGCGACACACGAGTCCACGTGTCAGCCAAAGATAGCGAATTCGGGCTCCAGGCTCGAGGTACACAGGAGGAAGGACAACAAGGAAGAGTGAGTGACGGACTGATTGACTCCGGGCTGCTCTTGATGATGCTCTCCCTCTCTCTGTGTGGATGTGTGTATATATCAATTCAGGAGAGGATGCTGCAGGGCATTTGCCAAGGTGGCACACTGTACAACAGCATCCCGACGTTCCCGACCACCAAGCAATCACCTACCTGCGGGCCGGCCAGCGTGCTACGCCTTCATCGCGCTCCCCACTCCCACCTCTACCCCCACCTCTACCCCCACCCCCACCTGCAGACACATGCCTGATCAGTCCAGATATGGAGTCTCTTTTCTTTCTCTCTCTGTCTGTGTGGTGTCTATTGAACAATCAGGCGCAGGTTCAAAAGTAGAGGGCAGCAGTTTTGCTGCAACAGACCAAGGAGTACAAGGTCAATGGGTCGGCCACCTCAGGAGGAGCAGGTGGGCAAGGGTAAAGAAGGAGAGAGACATACACATTGTCCATATCAACTGTTGCACTGCTTCAGACAAGAAAAAGAGTTGCCAGGAGTAGAGCAGAGGAGATCATAATCGAAAACAAGGTGATGAGATGATTGCCACACGTTTCGCACATACGTGTGCATGTTCCAGCTCAGGGACAAGACGGGTTCCGTCACGAGAGGGACGCACGGACAACGGTGGAGAAGGAGATGGAGGGGCTTCAAGAACGCCTGGGCCCGATCAAGGTGAGTGTGTCGTCAAGGAAAGACAAGAATGGGCAAGAGAGGCACATAATGGCTGGCGGTGCAGATGTGGAACGGTACGTATGAAGTATGTATGTTGTCACTCGCAAGCATCACGCACGCCCTGTCTTTGTCTGTCTGTCTGTCTGTCTTTCTGTCTCGGTGCCGGTTAGCAGAGAGGCATGCATGGCTGGAGGCCGACTTGGGCCGTTCTACCCCGAGAAGGGCCCCGCAGTGAGCCCCATGGCTGAGGGAGGAGCCACCATGAGGGGAGCCCCTCTCTTTCCCTGCCTATTCGGCGGACAAACACGTGTATATGGCCGCGGTGAACGAGACACTCGACTGTCGTTCATACTCATTTCCTTGACATGAAGTCTGCATGACAGACAGGGCAGCGAGCTGTGTGTTAGATGAATGAATCGAATCAACAGACACACTGATCGAATTAGGTCAATATCTCTCTGTCTGACTGACTGTCTGTCTGTCTGTCTGTCCGTCCCCGTATCTACTGACAGCTCCCCACCTAGGCCACGCACACGAGGACGGAGGAGACTACCAACTTGTAGCTACCCAACCTTACTACCTACTTAAACTCGTCCCAATTCATGTCGTCCCACCCGTCACCAGAAGACCCACCTGCACACACAACCACCGACAGTCACGTGTGTTGTGTCTCCATTGCTTCTTTGTGTGTGTTCGCTCTCACCTTTCTGAGGCGACACGGGGTTGCTCTGGCCCTTCTTGGCCCCACCTAGCTTCATCCCACCACCACCCTTTTTGTCGTCACCCAGGTCGAACTGAGCGAAGAAGTCGTCACCCATGCCGCCCCCCTTGACACCCACAGAGGGCTTCCCAAACCCGCCGCCAGACGTCAGTGTGCCATAGCCAGCCGATGTTGCTGCGGCGTGTGGCGGCCTGGCCCCTGATGGGGCTTTGGTGAGCGGCCTGGCGGCGCTTGACTGAGGGGTGGTCTTGATGGGCGAGGGGGGGCCGGCCTTGATGGCCTTGTCGGCCGGCGTGTGGGACTTGTCGCTCATGGAAGAGGACGAGGGGCTGAGGGATGATGCCGTGTGCCTGTTGGGCGACCCGGCGGGGCTCCTGTCGCTCCCGCCGCCCTTTGACTTGGGCGATGACGACCCTCCCAGCCCAGTGGCCTCCTTGACGTCGCTTGTGTCGCCAAACTCGTCCCAGAATGAGCCGTCGTCGTCGCCCCAGCCGCCCTGAGCCTCCAGCATGCCGTCATCTGCGAAATCGGGGAGGGTGGGGGACTGGGGCGGCTGGTGCTTGGTGGCGCTGCTGGTGTCTGGGAGGCTGCGAGATGCCATGGACTGGGGCGGTGGCGGCTGCCGAGTGATGTTCTTGCCCGCTCGCTTCGAATCTGATGGATGCACCAATGCAGAGAAGCGGGTGGAGGGAGCAAGGCGTGTGTGCACTTGATGGCTCCATCGGTGTGTGTGTACCGTCATCCGTGGGTGTGGATGCGGTGGTCTCCGAGTGTGCCCTGCCGTCGCTCATTCCTGATGGCGGAGGGTGGGACGATGCCGCCGACAGTCCCTTGTAAAAGGGGATCTTCTTGCCTGCACACACCACACCACACCACACAGGCCACACCATTGACTCCACATCACATACTCTCGTCAGCATTTGATTGCCTTGTTGTCTCCTCACTCACCGAGTGACGATCCGACATTGAGTGCCCATCCCGCCACAGCAGCCAGCTTCCCTCTGTCTCCATCCGCGCTGCCAGAGCCTTGTGAGTTGATGGATGCCGTGCGCCCGTCAGCCTGCGCTGCTGCCGCTGCTGCCGCTGCTGGTGGCGCGTTGGGCGGCTGGGCTGGTGCGGGTGCGGGCAGTTTGGCCATCTCCTCCTGCACGTGGCGCATCAGCTTCTCCAACACCCCAAAGGCCACCAGGCGAACCTGACGGCACATCAGACACACATGTGCACCATGTCGCATCTGTGGGTGTGTCTGTGGACTCCACCGCACGGCATCGCATCGCACCTCTTTCTCCGGGTCGACGAGCCGCATGCACACGAGTGGCATGAGTCTGTTGGCGATGTCTGTGGGTGGGAAGATGCCGATGCCCGTGGCGGCGAGGCTCTGCAGGGCCGCCTGGCGGCTGGGGGGGAAGGTGTCCTTCAACGACACGCTGAACGCATTGCCCAGCACCTGCACACACACACACACACAGACGCGCAATATCAGAATGATATCCACAAGTGAGAGCTCGGGTTCAGCCGTCGATTGTACCTTTCTGGCTTGGTCGACTGAGATTTGCGGTGCCACTTTGGCGATGCAGATCATCGTGTTAGTGCGGATGGACGGCTCATTGTCGCTCAGACAGCGGCTCAGCAGGCGCAGCGCCTTCTCACTCTGAAAGGGACACAAAACCAGCGGAGCCAGCCAGCCCATATGGTCATGGACACTCCTGCACTGCCTGCACGTCCATATCAAATTTGGTCGGTCAGTCGCACCTGTGCCTTTCTGAGCTTTGGCATGAAGTACAGCATCGACTTGACCGTCGCCTCCCTGCACACACAAACAAAGAACGAACAACCCAGTGAGTGCACCCGATCCACTCAGCACATTCACTGACCTCAGTGGTGCTGACGAGTCTGTGAACCCCAGTGCCAGCGGCTCGAATATCTCATTGTTGACCGTCGTGGCGTCTAGGTGGGGATCCAGGCTCTCCAGCTGCTGCAGCAGCGCATACCTGCAACCACGGGATGGAGGCCATTAGGTTGATCTGAAAGTGGGTCTCTGGGTTTCTTTGTTTGTGTGTACCTGATGCCCCTGTCGTTGCTGCCGAAGAGTTTGGTGAGTGCAGGGATGATCTTGCTGCGGTACTCGTCGCCCGACAGATGCGCACCGACCTTCAGCACTGACGTCAGGGCAACCGCGGCCAGCTCACTGATCGAAGGACACACAGATTGACAAAATATGGCCATCATGGCGACAGTGTTTGTTTGTATGTGTGTGTACCTGAATTCGATGGCCTTGATGAGCTCTGGCAGTAGTTGTTGTGTCTGCAGCTGGACTGGGAGGTTGTCGAGTGCTGCGGGCAGCTCGTCGAAGAACCTCTGCTTCTCCCCCTTGCCGCGGAGGTTCAGCTCGTCCACAAACACCATCACCTCAACTATCTTGTTGCCTGAAACCAACGGGGGAAGCACACGCTCAGACAGAAACGCGTCAGTCGGCACCATCCATCCGATGAGGTCTCACTTTTGAAGTATGGCTGTCCCGTGACGAACTCCCGCAGATTCAACGCGGCCGGGGAGGGCTTCAGCAACATCTGCACACACACACACAATGCACACACACTCACCATCTGCCCGCTGCTGTGCCCTCGCTGCTGTCACACTTACATTGTAGGCCGGCCGTAGCTGGTTTGGCACCGAGTCAGCATTGCCCTTGGGGTCGATCTGGATGCGGGAGCTGCTCGCGCCGCCCCGCCTCACTACTGTGTACGACCACCCTATCAGCGACGCATAACCCCACCTGACGGACGTCACACACACACACACACACACATATCAAAACACCGCATGTGCATTATCGCGCTGTCTGTCTGTCTGTCTGTGTGTCTGTCTGTGTGTGTGTGTGTGTGTGTTGATGCCTGTCTAGGTATTGCGAGGGCATGTTAGATGATGTGCCTTGCGGCAGGGTCCATCCGTTCTGCTCGGCCGGGTTGCGGCGCACCTCGCCCAGCAGCTGCTCGGACGACATGGCAGTCGACGCACAGCACTCGAAGCCGGACAGACGCCACGAACCTGACACACAACACAGCACACACAACACAAGGGGGCCGGGCCAATGAGTGTACAGACAGGAGAGGTGCATCGATGGAGGCCGGTTGTGTCAGTCACCTGCTTTGGTGACCATGACGCTGAAAGGGTTGAGCAGTCCGTGTGTGAGTTTGCAGTCCTGGTTGAGGAAGCCGACGGCCAAGCCGATCTGATACAGACCCCACGTGGGGTCACCACTCACACCTACACACACACACACACACACAGACAGGCAGCCGCAACAGACAGGCAAGGCGTCCATACGACAATCACTCCATCCATCACACTGCCACACACACTGTGTAGGCGTGTCTGTGTGGTGTGGCCACCGACCGGCGACAACGAGTGGCGAGACCTCTTCGGTGACGATATAGATGCCGCCCTCCACCTCCAAACCCTCCAGCAGACGCACTATCAACGGGTGACGCAGCGTCTTCAGCTTCTGATTCATCACAACACACACAGCACACAAACACACAAACAGACGGTCAACAAGCACTATTTTCTTTGTGTTTCATCTGGCGTGCCTGCAGGTGGTTCCGCGCCTGCCTCAGGGCGTCGGACGAGGCCGTCTTCTTGTCGCACACGAACACCGACACGGCCGAGCGGTCGATTTTGTGGTATCCGGTGTGCAGACTCCATATGCTCGAGTAGCTGAGGTTGATCTTCTCCCCAATGACGTAGTTGAAGGAGGACGGCAGGTCGCCCCAGAGCTTTCCTATCAGCTGACCAAACATCCGATCTCAGAGAGGCCGAAACGGCCGGATCTCGCCAACACACGGCAGGTCAGGATGCCTGCAGCCTCCACTCGCCGTCCTGCGCCTTCTTTCTCCTTCTTCGCCTCTTTCGCAACGCGAGCTTAGCTTGCGAGCTTAGAGGAGCGGAAAGAAGTCAAAGACCTCCTTCGGGTAGGGAGGGGTCCACTGATTCATCTTCACTTGGAAGATCCATTTCATCTTCGTCGCCAAGGCATGAGTCATCAGCGGAGGCTCAAAGCGCCCAAGAGGCTCAAGACGGAGGAACGTGTCACTGACGATGATCAAGAACGTGTCACTGACGATGGTCAAGATGCACCTGCCGCACCTGCTCCCGCCCCAGCACCGTTGGCCGACGGCATCTTCTCCACCGACGTCTTTGCGTCTGTGGCTGGCCTCTCTCCCAACCTGGTGCGGCAGCTCGAGTACATGGGCTTCAAGACCATGACGGCCATCCAGCAACTCAGCATACCGGTCGTCCTCAAGGGCAACGACACACTCATCCGATGCCAGACAGGCAGCGGCAAAACACTCGGTGAGTGAGTACAGTGAGCACCACTGGAGGGAGGGAGCATGGCTTGCTTCATTAATGCATTCCTTCTGTGTGCCTGCAGCGTTTCTCGTCCCCGCATTCCAGAAGCTGTTTGCCTTGGAGGAGCAGGACAGCAGGATATCGCGGGAGGCGGGCACTCGGCTCCTGTTGCTGTCGCCCACCCGAGAGTTGTGTCACCAGACTATGAGTGTGGCGAGCAAGCTGGCCCAGATGGTGCCGTCTGTGGTGGTGTCGTCCATCACTGGGGGCGAGAAGAAGAAAAGCGAGAAGGCCAGGCTCCGCAAGGGCGTCACCGTACTCGGATGCACACCAGGTACGTAATGCCTGCTGTCATACACGCACACAACACACGACTGTACTGCGTGGACGGGGTGGACTGTCCACATATCACTGACTGGTTTTCAGGCCGTCTGCTGGACCATCTCGAGACGACGGCGGCTTTCAACACGGCTGAGCTGTCCACAGTGGTGCTGGACGAGGCGGACCGGCTGCTGGACCTTGGTTTCGAGAAGAAGCTCCGGCGCATCTACGACATGCTATGCGACAAGAAGGCCAGCCACGACTCGGCAGAAGCGTTCAAACAAAGCATCAGGGACGGCACCGCGGACCATGACACGAGTGTGGCACCTGACAGGCCGGCCAAGAAGGGGCTGGAGAAAGAGGGGGCGCCATTTCAGGTGGTGATGGTCTCAGCCACCTTGACCCCGGCTGTCGAGAGGCTGGGCAGCTTTCTACTCCGCAGGGATCCCAAGTGGGTGGGGTTTGGCGTCAAGGACGAGCCTGAGGACGGGCAGCAGGTGGCGAGGGAGGGGGCGGGGTCAGTGGCGATGGATTTGCCCACTCATCTGCACCAGTATTATGTGGAGGTGACGTGCAAGACACGGCTGGTGGTCCTCATGGCACTCCTGCTGCAGAAATGCCAAAGCGGCAAAGTGAGCGGCACGAGCCGGACACACAAAGCGTCTGTCTCTAACCATCCGTTGTCTCTCTGCGTGTCTGCAGGTGATAGTGTTCTTGTCGAGTTGCGACTCCGTGGACTACCACCACGAGCTGCTGTCCACCATCCGATGGCCGTCACTCAAGGCTCTCCAGGGCAGATCGGCAGCGGCCCGCCCCGACAGGCGGCCGGTCAGTGATGCACGGCAGCAGGCCATCGCCCGCAAGTTCTTCGCCAAGATGGGCCGAAGGGGAAAGGCCAAGGCGGCAGATGACATGGACGACATGGACGATGCCGAAGAGTTGAGCGACGAGGACCTTGATGGCGACCACGCTGCCGTTGCGACCGATGAGGCCGAGTGGGCTGAGATGGTGGGTCTGCCCGTCTTTGCTGACGTGAAGCTGTTCAAGCTCCACGGCAACCTGGAACGCCATGACAGGTGAAAGAGGCGACGTTCTCCACACCACATCCACCACACCACTGCATGGTCACCTGTCATGTCGCTGTGTGTGCAGGGAGGGTTACTTGGCTGATTTCACGCGTCAGAGGCGGGCGATTCTGCTGGCGACTGATGTGGCCGCCCGTGGGCTGGATCTGCCCCATGTGGACTGGATTGTGCAG